CATTGCTGATAAAGAAAATCGCATTTATTTTATTCTTGTCTGTCTGTCTGTTCGCCGAGTTTGTTCCGGGTAATAAAACGGCTGGACCGATTTCGACCGATCTTTCACTGAAGGGTAGCTGACATAATGGGCATATTATCGGTTTATCTAAATATTGCGTGAAGGAAGTCGCGGGCGACAGCTAGTAGTATAATGAAAATTGTTGACTTTTAATATTAGTTTTCTGTTTAAATTGTAACGAAAAATTGTGCGTAAGATTAAATCAATTCCTAATACAAATACAATTATAAAATATTTGAGAATTGATTAAAACGACACGTAAATTGATACGAGAAATACGTATTTATCAAATTTATATCTATTGTAAGGTTATAATTTAGATTATATTTATTTTGACCTAAATAAATTAAGGTAAGATATATCAAAATTAATTAACTGTCATTATTAATCTGACTATTTTTAGGTTATGAGTTTTCGCTCCGAAAAAACTCGTACAAAAACCTACCATGGAGAATGATGAAAAGAAGTCCCTGATGACCAACATTCTAACTATAAAGATAAAATCATCTCTTGTGCTTTGCCTCGCTTTTATTCCTCTGAGCTTGTATGTATGTGCGCACAATACTCGATTTTTAGTTGTGCAACTAAACAGTTGAATTGGCTGCGAAACAATCGACAATCACACAACAGTAGTTCGATAGTTTAGTCAAAGGTATACGCCCGCCACTAACAGACATATTTAGGTCGTCTTTTTAAAATGCTATGTTTTTCAAAAACATGTGATTTAAGATTAAGATTTAAGTGATTTTTACTATTTGATACTTTATTTATTTATAAGTGAATGGATAAACGAACGGAAGGAACATCGAAATTGAACCCCCATGGATCTTTATGACCAACATTATAAATACTAGCGGAAGTGTAGATGTGTTACCAACCTTTGAGAAGATACTCTTGCTTTTTGAAGTTTATTGTATTGTTGAAGTTGTGTTTTTAATTATAATATTTTTAAAATAAAAAGCAAAAGTAAAGAATAAAGAAGGAATTAAAAATTATACTTATAATTTACATCTTGTACTTTAAGTGTGGAATTTGGATTTACCAATGATAAGATAATTGTGATATATTGATAAATGTTTATAATATTACAAAAACAATAATTGCAATTATGAAAAGAGATTTTTTTTTAATTTTATGACTAAATGTTGTATCGTATTTAATATCTTGAAGATAGATTTTTTATGTTTTAAAAAATAAACAAAGCAATAGAACTAATTAATTAAAAACAAAAAATTATAATATTATAATAACGTAGGCAAAGGTAAACGTCGTAGGGCTAGTAAAATCTTTAAATTATACTTCTAACCTAAAAACGTCAACGGATAAAAGAGTCCATGTTTACGAGGTTTTGTGGATCAATTAATTATCATATACATTGTACAGAGCTTGGGTACGAAGCTTGCCGAATTTAAACGAATCCCAAAGGCGAAATTGTAGCCGAAATACCGTAGAATTCCATTGCTGTGACACTTGTTTTTACTGTACTTTTTATAATCGTAACGTGATAGATGTGTGTAAATCAACTGTGCTGCAGTTCAAAAGATCAATTCAGCTAAATCCTGAACCGCTGAGCTGTGATTCAATTAAATGAGTAGCTCACAGCTCAACGATGTACGATAACTATGAGATCTGTCGAGCACGATAGCTCTCAACTTAGTACTTCATACCTCTATTCGTGTACAAATTGAGCTGATCTCCGAGCCTGTTACCAAGCAAGCAGTCAACTGATGTTCAAAAATAGAGAAATGAGCTGTTCGTACGTTGTGACATCTACACTATAAGATGTAACTAAAGGTTTTGTCCCGTGATATTTGTATTAACACCACCGATCTGTAGAAATAGATAGGTTTTTGGTTGTTAATGCCAACTAGTTTTTTTCAATTTAAACCTCCCCGTTGATAATGACAATTATTTATATCCCTATTATGTACAAGACACAAAATATAGTCTTATAGCCTGTCCATTTACATAGATCAGTGATACAATAAAATTCAGTAAAGGAATAAGTCTTCTACGGTTAGTGACGTCGCAAAAACTGGCAACATTTTTTTAAAACTAGTGAATAATTACGAGTCGTATAAAATGTCTTTTGCACATAAACTTTTACGTAGTTTCATGCATATATTAGGTTTTAATCATTTTTAACATTATTTTCATGTTGGCTTTCTGAATTCAAATGAGTGTCTCTTCGCTCTTTATGCATAGTAATTTTTAAATTACATTTTCTTTTATTATAATAGGATTTAATCCGTTATACTTACGTATTACATATTTGCATGAAATAATCCGTTGTACTTTCTTATTAAGATATTTTATAAGGTTATATTTACTTTTTTAATATGGTAGCTTGAATTAAAAATTATAGCCAATCACTACACTAATGAAAAATCACGGATTAACTCACGGGTAATTTGTGTATGTTGTTTAAGACCAGCTAGGGTTCTAATCAGGGTAGCTAGGGCTCTAGTAACGGCCTATATTGGCGAACAGGCCTGAAAGAGGACTTCTCATAAGAGTTTTATAAAGCACTTGGATTTTTAAAATATTTTGTATTTGATTTATCAATTAATAATTAAAGTAATTATTTAAATACATAATATGTATTATGTTATCTTAATAATTGTATTATGAAAATTTAAATTTCATTTTGCTGATAGTTCTTAAGGCTATGACGTCACCGCAGGCGCGCGCACATCGATCGTACCGCACCCTAAAGCGCTGCATTCACTCATCGTCTAAACCTATTATATTAGAACACTACGAGTAAATCGCTGACAGCGCTTTATTAACAACACTAAACCTTCGACTTTTAATTAAAATCTAGATCGGGGTTGTTTTTTTTTCTTGAAGATTTCAAGGTAATAATTAACGATATTGGTTTTATTTTTTATAGAAAAATTTAATAAAGGATAAGTCTGTTAAATGGAATATTACAAAATAATTTTTAAGCCATCTAACAACACTGGTAACATACTAGTTTTTTGTTTCGTATTAATAATAACTAACATTTGTGTTTACTCAAAATCCACTAAATTAACTTCAGAAAAGGCTGTAATTTTTTATCCATGTTACTCCTAACATATTTCTCATAATGAACATTTACTCAGATATTATTATCTGTTAATCTCTCATTATATGCTTCATTTTACTTAAGAATTAAAAAATCTCTTAATATGCGGCCAGAGAACACACATAAAAAGGCGCGTGTGGAGTATTCTTTCGTATGGCTTTGTATTGCTGTTAACGGGCGCCGGAGATATCTTGCCCAAGGCGCTTGTAATGCTAAAATAGGTTATGAATTTAGCGTATGTTACGAAAGTTACAAATGTTATCCGAAATTCTGTAGTAGAATATGAAACATAGAATAGACATGAATATAACTTTACTCGCATTTCACTCGCATACTTCCTTACGTTATTTGTGAATCAAGGTAAAAGATTACAGCGTATTTCGTGGAAAACAAAATGCTAACAATTTTGAACGATATTGTAGCCAAGTCACTTCATAGTAATGAAGACCGCCATTTTTATGCAAGTTGTCTTATTTCTTATACAAAATCTGGGAAAAAAGATGGGACACCCAGAAAGACGATATTGTCCCTTCTCTGTCGTATCTGGTTCCCTTTCAGACCCTGTCATCATAAGAAAAGGTTGGTAAGGGAAAGGGACTAAAATGAGATCTCGAACCTTCGTATGACAGATGTCACTTACCACTAGTTCATATAAAAATTGTGTTTGCTTTCCGATTCGAATTCGCGCGTTTATCTTACTCCGCTACCGCTTATGCCTTATTACGCTTTCTATTGTCAGCCGTCTCATTGATTTATAACTTCAGCCTCGCCTTTATTTCAGTTCTCTGAATATCATCATTTGCTTTTTACGATCTACCAGGATTTGTTTGTATCGTAACCATGCGGTGGTTAATTTAGTCTCTTAGTATCTTTCTCGTAACTTTATAGCATAAATATTCTATTTATTAGATACAAGCTGTTCCCGTGCGGCTTCGTTCGCATAAAATTGCAAATGTCAAAAATCAAATGCACAAATGACAACCATGGTAACCTTGCTTCCTTGATGTTGGCAGATTGTTGTTTATGGTACCTTTCCTGCATGAAGGTTTTTCCATTTCCAATTTATTAACCTTTAAGTTTAAGTTTAATTAAGTTTAATGCGAAATACATAGCCTAATGCGTGCCGTAAGTGTAGGGCTTTTTATTAAAGAAGGCATTATTCAAAAATATGGTGTGATTGCTGACATCCTACGTCACGAAGTGTTGTGCGTTCTTGCTTTATTATATTAGTATAGATACTGGGCTTTTACTAAAATACCCTTAAGTTCCTTCATTAGCGAAACTCTAGCTAGATAAACTACAGCAAATTCTAGAAAAAGTAATTATTTACTAATTTAGATGCATTTTATCTGTTGTAATTTGTAAGAGCGGGTTTGCATTTCTTAAACATTACAAAAATGTATTTTCATTTTTAATAATTAAGCACCTTATTTGATATCACTTGTCCCCAATACGTTTATTAGCTGAAGCTACCTTCGGATGTCGTGGGCTCTCATGAGACTCTTCTTGTCAAGTATAGATGGCGTTGATTCGGCACGTACTCACACTATCATAGTGTGCTTCACTTCTGTCAGTGACCTAGCTAATTCTTAATTAATTGGTGATAAATCCCTACCCTACTACTGCTAAAAGGATAATTCAGGTTATTGGTTTGAAACACAGAAACATACTCAAATACGAACCTACGAATGTGTGTATCGTCGCTGTGTTTTCAAAAAATGTTCGAAATAAAAATTTTACTTTACCTCATGCTAAAACTTGATTTGAAATCATGCATTTACCAACTTCCATTGTCTAAGTGTTACTTCAAAAACATAAGTAAAAGAAAATAAAAAATGGTGTATCGCACAACATTAGTAGAGAATCTTACCTGAACGGATTCGTCAGACGAATGTAGGCGACTGCTTGACCGGAATCCGTTGGTGTCTTCGAAGCCGGCGTCGCATCACACACGCCTCGCACTGCCGCCACACACCCGCGCACCGCCTCGTCTGTACCGACCCTTATTAACCCTACACCCTACACGAAGCCCTAACTACACACCCGAACACATTTTGACAGTTAAAATAAGGCTAGTCCACCTAAAGCACCTAAAGTCCTAACAGTTCGTCCCTGGTCGTTCGAAATTTAAATTTATTCTATTAAAAATTGGTGTCTCGCTCCCGCACTATTACCTGTCTTGGCTTTTGTGTGATTTAATGCGCGAAGCACGTAAACTACACCCGTCCCGCTCCATATACAGCGTTTTTATATCAGGGTGTTGTATCTATCTCTCTCGCACGTATCGCGGGCACGTTAATCTGAAACAATAGAGGGTTTGATTAATCCAGTGGTAGTTTGCAATTAGCGGCAACAAAATGGCGCTTCGTATTGTGATTGCGGTCTTTGGTGAATTAACATATTGTTATCAGACAATAGGTATGAAAGGAAAAAGCGTACAGTTAAAGAATTTAATTTGTTTCCCAACTACAATCGAATATTGTGTTTGCAAACTGTCACCATAAGATCTATAACTCAGCAGGTATGTTATGTGTTTTCGACATTGCATTTATCAATAGGTTAGGAAAAAGGTCTTGACTTTTCATGTAGCTACTTCATACTTTATTTTCACAAAAATATAATTGTAACTTAATTTCTGAAAGATTTTAACATTGATGTTATCTAAATAGGTTAAAAATAAGTCACGTAAGAAACCTTGACGGTAACAAAGGTATAAATAGTAATAAACCATTTTTTAATCGTTGAAATACAAATAACACGAAAAAAATGTTCATGTTCACGGAAGTTATAACTTATATAAAAAAATCTAGATTACGTAATCAACATAACTTTTATTTATACCGAAACTGGAATCACATAAGTATACTTGTATGTACTATCGCGGAAATTCGCGATGTTCCACTTACAGAAATTGCTTTTTTACGAGATAAACTCCGATTCTTTTTCGTCGCGTTGCACAAAACGGTATAATAATAAAAAAAGTAATTTGCCCTGTAAACTAATTGACCGTTTTCGTACAGAATTTAAAAACTATTGTTTTTTGTTCCTTACCGTAATCTGAATGTATACAAAATTTCCCAACATTTCATAAAAATAAAATTAATGACGATATTTGGTACAGAACTTGGCGTCGAAAATCTATAAATTAAGATCAAAACGTATTATTTTTCCGTAACCTTAATACCTAGGTCATTGGAACAGATTCGCCTGGCACTGAGCTACAGTGACGTCATCTCACTTAGCAAGTAAACAGCCGAGACAAGGCCTTAGCTTAGTACAACTTAAATCAATATTACTATAGTATAGGCGTCTCTTTTGTGACGTCATAGATTTCTTTACAGCCAGTAGTAAAAAAATATTTTAGAGTAGAATAAAATAAAATTAAAATATAAAAATAATTTTATTTAATTAAGTACAGTTACCTTACTTAATGTCTAATTTATATCATTTTATAAATGTATATAATAAAGGGTTAATAATTAATTACGCTATTTATCCGGCCCTGTCCTCGGTGTGAGGCCACACGACACGCGAGACTCAGTGTAAACACGTCCGGGTTTAAAATAAAACGTACATCATCTTTTGTCATACATTTATAAACGTGGGTTTACATTGACGAGACTGTATATAATTTTACCTGACTGTCTAATAACATAATATTTGACATAAGCATTCAGTAAATGATTATTACATTAGGGGTGTTCGCGTATTGGTTTATGTTATAGGCGATAAAAAATGTAACATCCATTTGGTTTTAAGTTCAAATAGGAATTACCACAAGATTTATAAATATATTATTTTTAAAAATGATCAAAAAAGGTGGTCGAAATGTCTACAACAGTTGTGTCGAGAAAATCTCATTAACTTTTTTTTTCAGTTTCAGAATAGTTTTTCGAACACAGTCAGTTGTCAATAGTGTTAGGTAGAGGACATAGTGTCGAGGAATTATGACCAGCTCCTCAAAGACTAGTTCACTGTGTAGATCAGGACCACCCCGATATATGTTGTCAAAGAATACATGATATGTGATTTATTTATAAAAACTTTAATAGCGTGATCTAGGCCAGGATATGATGACGAAATTAAAATCAGGATTATCCTCGTTTTAAATTAGTTATTACATTTATTAATTTAAAAAACAATTAATAACATTTATAAATATGCAGTTTTTTTGGGTTTAATAATTTATTTAAGTATATTAAATATTTTATAAGAAATTAGATTTTGATTAAAGAATTAAAAAAAACTTATTATTATTTAAAAAAAAAACTATAAGTCATTTTGACAGAAAAAATAAATAAATCATGGGATTAGAATTCAACATCATTTTCAGATCATATGCAGGATATTTTTTTGAAAATACCCACAGTTTAAATGTTTATGTATGTAAGATTTTTCTGCAGACTTTAAGGAGGGTATGTTGAAAATTATTCACGCATATTGCGTAACACAATAAGATACAAAAGCGCAAGTAAATTCTTCTTAAATTTAACCAGTTTATAACAGAGTTCCTTATTATTAAAGCTTTTAGACCGTTTCATTATAAACGTGAGTGTTTTTATTGTGTTGTTAAAATATAATACGAATGTATTAAATCATTTACAATTTTAATTAAATAAAATTGATGCAATCCTGTTTTTAACATTGTATCTTCGTTTTTGTTTGCAGAAATAGGACAGCGCCATCTCGTGTCGAAAAGCAAAACCGTCGAAACGTAAGTCAATTTACATTTGCTTCACTTTAAATGTCTCAATAGTTGTTTATTGCATTTCGATGTCTACAACATAGTGGAACATAATATATTAACAATAGTTGCTCTATTTATCTGTACATTTCAACGATTACGTTCAAAATCTCCCTAAACATTGTACATTTTACTCGACTACCATTTATCTTGTATTGTTGGTTTTATCGTATAACCAGTGTAAACTGACCTATCTCATCTCCTAAATCGACAATAAACTTGTACAAGTATTCGGATACGGTCAGGCCAATAACTCTGGTCGTGATACATCACGAAGTATTCTCGAGTGTATCAGAGCTATTGACTAGTTTATGTTGAGCTATGTCTTCGAAGACATTGTTGTGGAAATATTTGTGAGATCGGAGATCATGTATGTCTGGTCATAGTACATACGTCCGCGTTATTGAAGAGTAGCCAAGATGTCGGGTGCACGGCCAAGAGAAATAAACTTGTAGCAGTTATATTATAACCTATCCGCGACACGATCTACTGCTTGTATCTATATCAATATGGTCATTGTTAATTTATAAAAAAGAACGACAAAAGGTCTGCAATTTATTTATAAGTACTCTGTAACATTTAATGTACGCAATGGCCACAGCTACATTTAGATTTAGAATCACAATGTGAGATCTGCCTCTGAGTTTACGTTGTCAATCAAACATTGTTTCCCCTTGTTGTTTTCGGAGCTAAAAATAATGGGTATTTAAAAATTTTAATAACGCCTGCAGAAAATAATTAGTTTCAATCTACAATATAGCATTGCTATTTTTTTCCTAAATCATTTTTAGATATCGCTAATAAATTAAATTAAAATCATAGTTAACCGGATTATTTACAGTATTTTATCAAAAGAAAAGTATTTTTTGTTTTCGTATAACTTGAATACTGTAAAAGAGTCGAAGATATCAACAAAAAGCGATTTAAATTTTCGAAAGCCTCATACGTCGTAATGACGATTAGTGATGTACTGACCATCGCCAGTCAATATCGATACGGTGATGTTATATTACGCAGGCAGATTATTGTCGATAAACTCGAATTGCATATCCTTGTCAATGATTTATAGCGCATAGATTCACTTTGTTACTGTCATTGTAACGCATAACATAGTTATTTGTTTAGATATAGTTTTAAAGTTACGATTGAATATGCTTTGTAAGATTTAGGTGTTCGTTATTCATATTTAAGAAGACGTAAAATAGGTGACTAATTCTTACTAGGCTTAGAGGTTACTTAATAGTGTAAATATACGATTAAACAAACATTCATCATTGTTGGGTATAAGTTAATCCTTTATTTACTTTTAATAAGGAAAACTTCTGTTACAATCTAATTGTGTCAGTCACTTGAAATATTCCGAGACTGAAAAATGTCGGTACAAAATAAATACGAAAAAAAGTCGTGTTATAATTTCAAAATGTATTTTCTACGGCTTTTTCCGCTCCAACAAATGCGTCACAAGAATAAAGTGCGAAAGCTCTTCGTGCCGAAGTTATTAAAAAAATGGATACACTTTTTCTCTCACCCTGTATGTGAAGTTTATGAGCGAGATTTGGGGTACTATTATACAGACAAATTTAACTTTGGAAATTAATAATAGCAGCTAAAGAAATGAACTACTTTTATTTATTTAAAAAACTAAAATAATTATAGTATCAAGATGAAAAAATATTAATTTATAAAATGATAACGTTAAAAAGTTAATTATTATCGACAATTTTGTACTTATTGTATTTGTTATACACAAAACAAAGAAAATAATGACCATTTTACATAAAATACGATAATCCTAAACAATTTTCACTCAAGTTTTTAATAAACCAATAATCTCAAGTTTAGACATCGCATATCATATTTTAAAACGAAATGATGGGGACATAAACCAGAAAGTGTTAAGAATGAATGTGGATGGCTACAAAGGAAGAGGAAGACCGAAGAAAGTATGGATGGATTGTGTGAAAGAGGATATGCTTATGAAAGGAGTGGATTCAGATATGACGACTGATAGAGATGTATGGAAGAGCAGCACATACTGTGCCGACCCTCCGTAAGGGATAAGGGCAAGTGATGATGATATCATATTTTACAACGTTTGTTCTCCGTGACATTTTTTTCTCATATCTCAAGTAAGTGTACACTTATGGCGAAATGAAATTATTTCTCTAATAACATGAGTTTGTCTGAAGTAGGTTGGGCATCTCGCCAAGTCTCCGCGGCGAGGTATGCAATTACATTTTGTTGGAAATTTGAGGTTATTACCCTTAAGTTAGTTTGTATGACAAAAACGTCAAATAAGAAATCTTTAAGACCCAAGATCCTCTAGCTTATACGAGTACTAACGTAATTTGTATATAGTGATACTACTTGTGTTGCTTAGGCGATAGTGTTGAAATGTAACGTGATTCTGACTTCAATGGGATCTTAGACTATAATTTTGTTCTTCTCTTATCAATCACTAGCTTTCGCCCGCGACTCCATTCGCGTGGAATTAAAAAAACAAAAGTGAGTAGCCTAAGTGTTCTTCCAGAATAATGCGTATGTGCCAAATTTTAT